AAGCCAAAAACCTGCTTTTCAAAAAAATTGTCCAGCGGGGCGATTTTTTGAAGAAAGTAGAGACATGGCAAAAGTTGGGAAATTCTAGAAAGGAAACAATCTGGTGTTCAAAAATTTTCTTACCACTTCTCACATTTCCTTATTTGAAAAAATTCAAACCTTTCAAAGGAAGAACTGCGCATTTCTGTCAATTCAGGTTTCTCTACCCCATAACTACAAATTTTGAAGAATGCAAAAAGGTGTCTCTTTCGGAAACAACGGGTCTCTTAGATTACAAATCCATTTTGATTTTTGAATTGAATAATATTGATGCTGAACAGAATTACACTCGTTTGAGAATTAGTAGTCGCCTCGGTCTATCCGCGCTCCGCGCTGGGTCGAGGGAAAGATTGTGCGCGCCAATGCGAACGCAACGCTCCCGTGCTCAATTCGGTTCCCCGGCGGGAAAGTTCTACTTATATCCAAGTTCTGTTTTATGGTGTTTTGTATTTAATCCTTATATCGCTATTCTCGAGTAGGATACACGTTTATATATCCGTATACACACATAGACACAAACAAATGGTGTTGGGTGGGGGGGTCGTATCGAGGCCCCCTAGAAGGAGGGGGGTCGTGAATTTTTTGAAATTTGTCCAACGTGACGGCTAGCCTGCCTCCCGCACCAACCGCTATAAACGAAGAAGTAGAGCTCTTTCCTGTTCGCATCGCTGCTTGCAAGTAGCGTTTTATGTACTCTTGCGCACTGCGTTTTTTTGTATTTCTTGCTTGTATGCATGTCGCTACTTGATGACTTTCATTTAAATCTCACATGTGAATTCTTGTTTACGTTCCCAAAAAATCGCAATGAAATATATAAAATAATAATAAATAAAAAAATTTGCAATCCACCTCAAGACCAAGGCGTGCATGGCGTCCAGAAAACTACTAGATTCCCTCACAAGTCAGAAAGCACTTCTGCTGCGAAGTGGAAAACCCAAATTTCAGAACGCACCTCCATTTTTGGAAGGTTATGACATCCTTCAAAAAAGGCTTCTCGAAGAGTTTAATAAGATCCAAGAACGTCAAATATTTTTCTCTTGGAAGGTCATCAAAAGTCTTGCGACCATTCACTTTTTCTCAAAATTCTCCTAACAAGCACTTAATCGTTTCTCAAGGTTCATCCTTTGAAAAAAAAATCACACGTTCGCACTTTTCCAGGGGTTTCCCACGATCAATTTATACATAGAAACGCGAGTTTTCGCGCTCTCAGTGATCATAACTTTCTTTTTCGATTTTATGGCAATTTTTGGAACCGCAAGAAAGTACAGATGCCAGCTTCCTAATAATAGCTTGATCGCTTCACGCCCACTTTTTGAGAATATCACACGTTCGCACTTTTCTCTCCTGGATTTTTAAGCAGTAACCTCGACTTTTCGAAATTTTAACGATTCATAGCTTTCTTTAGGGCGGAAGTGGTGTAGTGGCAGGTGGCAGGCTTACCACGCGAGCGGTCGGGAGTCAAATCCTGAGTCGTGGAGTCAGCTGAGTCCGCGCCGGTCCCACAAAATGCCTACCCGATCCCTTCCGGCGGTCGGTTGAAATTGGTACCGGCCAGGCTTGTGCTGCGGAATGGAATAGAAAAACGACTTGACTTTGTATATAGGGCCCGCCCCGCAAACGTCCATTTGATAAGCGACATCGAGCAATCAACACGCCGCATTACACGGAAGTAGTACAAATGAGTAGGCAATGCCGTGCCGCTGGACCCAACAAGGGATGATTCCAACGACAAAATGCGCTGATTTGATTTCATTTATCCTTTAAAGAATGTGTCTTCTTTAAAGTACGAGCGCAATACGGTCTTAAAGAAGTTCTACTCATATCAATCTGGCTTCTCTATAAACTGTCCATTTTCAAGCCTATTCGGGTCAATCCTTTCAGATCGTTGTACTTCCTTACTCTTATATTTGGTCCCGTTACCCCGAAATCCGTTCAGAACAATCTCTCTGCTTCGACAAATCAAATTTAAAGCTGCTGCTGCCAACAAATCCTGCTTTAGCAGGCGCGACCCACAGCACCTGCGCACTTCCAAAGTTGAAGCGCCATATGTTGAAATGCTACTCTTATTCTTGCCACTAATCCTATTAAGCCGAGCCATTGCGCCATTTGTTGGTCTGGTAGATGATGGTCCCACGTAGAGGCTCAGATTGGTGTTCAGGATCCATAACGCATTAACATTGTATATGCTCGTTCTTCTCCACTTGTAATCTCTTGCAAGCATCGTGTGTTTAATCCCTCTCGATATGTCGGAATCAAGAAGCGAAGCGTCAGAAGACAAATCGAGGAACTCTTATTGTCATTTTTGTTGTCCGCAACGTAAACCTCTCTCTTCAGCGTAGTCCTTGCACATACTTCACGTACCGGTGACATCATCATACGATTATGCGTCGCGGGCCCTCGGGTTTCACGACATCACCTCATCCACTCTATTAGGAGCAAGGAATGCCGACACTCCTCTTCGAAGATAAGTGCGAAACAGAAACAGTGTTTACGCTGTTTTGAGGAGTCGATCTGAATTACCCTCCATACTCGACTTCCCACCCTCTGGGAGTAGGTTCGATAACACAATTCCAAAAATCTTTGGAATTGAAACATCGGACCGTTAACCCTAAAAACATCGGTGGTTCGTCACAAATGGCGAGAAACAGAGGCACGTGAAGTAACTCCTAAAACATACAATAACTTCCTCCTTAAAGTTTCAACGAATCCGGAATGTCAGAATTTTGAATAGTGGAAAGTGTCGCGCGTTCCAGAAACCTTCTACGATTCATCCTTGTAAGTTTGGAATGCTCTCTCTCTCTTCTGTTAATGATATATGCAAGCCACTCAGAATTTCCGCGGCTATCCCAACAACTTCTTCCTTCAAAAGTCACAACTTCTTCAAAAGGAGGTCTGTTGCGAAGCTGTGAAAATTCATAAAAATTGAATTATTTCTGCTCCGCTTTTTTCTAAGTGGTACCAAAAGGTTTCTGATCCATTCTGCTTTCCTAAAGAAATCGCTCATGCTTGCACTTTTTAGAGCTTGGTGTGATCCATAACTTCCTCAGCCTTTTCGTCGTTGGCAATGCCTCATTAAGCGCAGGGCAAGAACATTTGGTCTTTAAGATCTTTCACTCAAGGACTCGGATCAGTTACCAATGAACTCTTCAAACGTCTCCGCTTTGCCAACACTTTTTTGTAGGTTTTCCGAACAGCTTTGAAGTTATTACGATCTTAAAGGAATCCTTCGCGGAAAATTCTTGCATTCTTTCTTGACATGAATGTGTCAGTTGTGATCACTGGAAACAGCACACAAAGTTTCACGCATGAAGATTCGGTTTCCGAAGAGAAACAAACGTACAAAAACTACACTATGGACATCGAAGGTAATTCGGGCGGAGCCAAACGAGGCATGGAAAGAAGTTGGCCTTTGGCCGGCTACGTATCAGGCGACGCAATGAAAGAATCGGGAAAGCGCGCGATTTTGGAGAGTAGAGACAAATCGATCGATAGAATAGGATGGAGTAGAAGTGTAAGATGTGAATGCAATAAAGCAGAAGGCCAGAAAGTTTCTAGTGAAGGCACTCCAAGAACCAAGTGGAAGCATCCCCGTCGCCAGCATTTGTGAAAGACGTCCGTGGGCATTGAACGCGTAGCAGCCCTTTCGATTTTTCGAATTTTTACCAAAACGAAAGCAATATTTCTGTTCTTTTCATTCTTATCGTGGATAATGAGTCTCAAGCCAGTGATTTATGGCTGAAATAGAATCATGATTTTTCCGCGAAGGATTCCTTTAATTTTCACTTCTATTGAAATGCTCGCTGTAAGGAAAAAACATTTCTGAAAACTACGTGATTCTTCGATTTTGTAAAGTTATCAGGAGCGTTTTTCAAGCAACCCCTGTTTGAAAACCTGGTTTTTGTAAAGGTTTTCTTCTAAGCTTCAAGAAGTCCACCTTCTTGCCATCGCACCTCCTACATTTTACCCTGGTTTCGAAAGCATTAGGCTTGATCCAAAACAATTTGTCTGATTGTGATAAATCAGATCTGAGCATTTCACGCCTTGAACTCTGCTCTGAGATGGACCGCATGTGCCTGAGTTCAAAGTTTTGAATGCCTTCAGAAGCTGATTTTCTCCTGCTATAGCACGTGACGCCAGCCTTGTCGTGATTCGGTAAAAACCTAAGTCTAAAGTCGCGATATAGCTTCATGTACGAAGCATTACCTTCCGTTTCCTCTCAAATTCATGCTTTTGACATCCCTACCGGGTAATGACGTCGCCGCAGTTTTCGCTACGGGCCCCTAAGTTTACATCCCCCCCAGTAAACAAAACACGACTTTCCTTTTCGTTGGAGTGGACCATTGATCCTTCTACTGATTTTGGGCAGGGATCGTACTGATCGGACGACGGTTGCAATGAGACCTTCTTCAGATGAGGTTCTTACTGCAACGTCTACGTTCACCCTGCTTATGATCAATTTGCTTCCAGGAGACGTTGACGCCTATTAGACCTTATCTTTCATTGTTCGTATAGATAGGACGCGTTATTACTTTGGTATCGAAGCCATTATCAAAGTTAATTTGCGAGGCTGCTGTGGTTTGAACCACGAATTCTCCTATAGTGTGCCTTAGTTATGTCCTGCGTGAAATGTGCTTGAGGGCAGCACCTCAGCTCTGAAATAGTTTCTTTGGTCGAGGCAGAACTACTACTATGTCGTGAAGAAGATTTTTTTTTCAATACATAGCATCAAAGCACTCAAAACCTAGATGATCTGATAAAGTTATAAAACATCTTAACAATATCACTACTTTAACAAGGGTAATCACAATCTAATGGAGCACCATAGGAACGAAAATGAACGAGGGAATCAGTGTGATTGGCAATACTTTTCGTGAGGATACAGGACCTAAAGCTGTGAACCCATTTTACACGCCGCGCACATTTCCGTGCCTGATCGTACACACCCACAATCATCGAAATATTCACTCCAACCAGTCCATGCCACGTACTGCCCTTCCAGCACAGTACACTTTGTCAGCCTTGGTCGCGTTTGGGCACAAGGTGTATGGAGCGCACACCTCTTCTCTTCTGAAGCAATGAGATGTCGCTCCACACATGTACGTATTCCAGTGATTTCCAATGCACTCTGAAAACAAACGTTACGAGAAGACTTCAGATACTCCTATAATAATAGTGCGACGCAACTTCCAACCAGGGTCAACCCTACCGTTGGTACTTCTCGGAGATTTCTACGACCCCTCTTTTGCGGGGGCCGTGGTACGACCCCACTTTGTGTATGGAAACATTAGCTTACTTGGGAGAAACTTCGGCCGCGTGCGTAGTTCCCGTTTTCCCCGGTGTTTCGGTCCCAATCGAAAGAAATCTCAATGGGATTTGCACCTGGTTCCTTCGAGGGTCATAACTTCCTCCAAATTAAGGATTTGCGACAAGGTTCGAAGATTAAGGAAATTCAAATCATGTCTCTTCAAATCTATCTTGAAATTCCTTAAAGTAATTTAGTAAAAAATTAGCACGTTGGTACTTTTTTCTGTGCAAATGCGACTTTTCAACCTTCAAACGATCATAACTTCCTTCAAACTCATTTATTTGGGAAGCTGAACCCGGTATGACAAACTACAGGATTCAAGCTTTCTAAAGTACCCGAAACTTTTTCAAAAAACCAAAAATCAAAAAAGAAAATTAGTCCCGTTGGGACTTTTTTGGGGGATTTGTGGGACTATTGTTCAAAACTGCGAGTTTTCAACTTTTAAATGATCACAACTTTCTTCAATCTCATTCAGCTGAAGCCGAAGCCAGTATAACAATTTCCAAGGATCAGCATATAAAAAAGTATCAAAATTTACTGAAAAAATTACCGACTCCAAAATTAGAAAAATGGCTTGATGAGTTTCCCTCTAAAAATTAGCTCCGTTGGGACTTTTTTTTGAGGGGAACTCATCAAGCCATTTCCGTGGAAACGCGGCTTTTTCAGGTTTCAGTGGTTGTAACTTCGTTCAGAACCAATTTCGTGTGAAACTTTGGGCATCCTAGAAAACGACGAGTATGCGTTTTCAAATTCCGTTTGTGGAAATCCGCTCCTCCAAAAAAAATCCTTTTGTAAAAATTTTCTTTCTTTCGAAGTACATCCTTCATACTACTGGAATTTTCTTTCTTTCATTCACTCCAGAAACAACGGAATCCCTCTAAAACAGTTGTCACTAATAACTCGACTTTAAAACGCTTGGCACTAGCATGGTGTGCGCTGTGCCTTCTAATTCGTCCGTACATTTCAAAGTCGGTATCGATTTTCCCTGCTGATCGCCGCAGTTACGACCCCCTCCCACCTCGTGGTTCACATACGACCCCCCCCCCCTTGGTACTGTACCAACATAGGATCGACCCTGCTTCCAACCCCCGTCAAAGAGTCAATCAATAACCGGCATCAAAAATCATGTGCGTCAATGCCATGAACTCACCCAGTAGCGGCACCTTTTCGATTGAACTATCCCTCAATACAAAGTCTTACCCACCTTCACATGTGCAATCCTTTTCATCGGAACCGTCTCGGCAGTCTGCTACACCGTCACATCGAGAGATCTTCGGAATACATGTGCCTTCTCCGGGACAACGGATGGAATTGGAGGGACACTGGAAATGCAGCAAAAAAAGAATAAGATAACTTTCACAAGGAATAGCGCATGCTCACCGAACCACAGTTAGTCTCGTCCTTTCCATCCATACAGTCCCATACACCGTCACACACTTTATCCTTAGAGATGCATTTCGTTTTCCCAGATGCAGAGCGGCATTCAAATTTATTCAAAACCTAAGTACGAGCAGGTTAGGGACTGTGAGTACATGAGCACACAAATCCAAAAAAAAATTCAAATGAACAGAGGAAGAGAGGGAAAGTGCACTGCAATCATTGAACTGCTTTCCGTGGCGAAACATGTCGTAAATGCAGAACTGGTACCACAGTGGTTATGACCTCGAGACAATCGATATCATGTGTGTCTTTGTGCTCTTGATGCTTCTTGTGCTACGTGTTTCTAGTATGCAATTGCGACACGTCTCGGAGCCGTAAACAAAGCATTTATGGTTCCTAATCTGCATCTTCTGCATAGTGCTCGCTATTTCGCTGGTATTATAATCTCCAGCTTAGCTAAGGTTTCATGGATGACATCGTACATAGCAATAAGCTCTTACCGCACAACTGCAGTCGCGTTCATCTTCACCACCGGAACAGTCTTCAATTCCATCGCACACCTAGAAACTGCCAAAATGTATCATGTTCAGTAAAACGCCACTGAATTGTCTGCACCACCCTATCTATATGCACACGACATGTGCGCAAGTCTGTGTCCTTTAATGTTGAAAAGCGAATGTTCACCAATAACGGGCTAGGTTCCCATACTTTGCGCATCACTATAAATGGTCGCCCATTTTACACGATGGCAGGTGGTCCAAGGTGCAGGGTGAAGAAAACAAACAGGAAAAACG